TTTTTATACTTAAAAGCTTCCTTGATCGAGATTTTTCTTACGAATTCTCTAATTTAAAGAAAATCAATCCGACTATATATTTACAAGTTAAGGCTTTTTATTATTTAATAATAAATTCTTGGTTTTAAGCCAGCCTTTTTTAAGAGAATATTTTACTCCACATCATTTTATTAAAAAAACTTGAAAATGAAATAGATAAAAAAATGACCTAGATTATGTATTTAATAAAAATAAAATCGTGGGGTGTACCATAATCTCAGTAAATATGTAACACCCCACGATTTTATTTTTATTATATTATCTACGTCATTATTATCTTTTTTTTTTCAATAAAACCGTTTAACTGAAAAAAAAAATTACCTGTTATATTTTCAAGATTTAGTTTTTTTTTTTAATTTTAAACTGTATAAACTTCATGATCCGCCATGCACTGTGTTCTTCTTGTAAAGCCATTTGATATAATTTATATGCATATTAGCTATTATTTGATACCCATATTGAGGGGATTGTAAAAAAATATGTAATCCGCCATTTTGTGGCGGTGGCCATCTTGGATTTACAATGATACTGAATATATATTCAGTCTGTATTATATGGTCATTAGAACTAAAGGTGTGTAAAAATATTTGATCAATCTGTCAACAGGAAAGTGGTAAAATTTCAATTACTACATTTGACCCAAACAAACAGGGCAAGTTAAATACAATAAACCGTTTAAATACATTAACAATGTATATATATTATATAGGTATGTATGTACATTGTACATACATAAAATAATGTTGAAATTTGGTTCCACCTGCATATTTTTTGCATTAATTTAAGACTTTATTTAAATTAAGAATTGTTAATAATAAATAATAATTCATATGTTCAAGTACTGATCGAATGATGATTTTATTAAATAAAAAAAAATCAATCTTAAATGTAATATATAAAGCAATTCCTAAACAAATAAATATAGAGAATAACTTCTAATCAAATAAACAAAATGGGAAATCCAGGAAATCCTTCGTTTAACATGGATTTGTTCTTATTGGGATCTTTATGAGTGTAACAATTGGTTTTTCTCTCCAAATCGAAATTCAATATAGTATGCATTATGCTTTGAAATTCCAGAAATGTGAATTTTCTTTAATGAGAATTATATTATATTATTGTTTAAAAAAGCTTAAATATATTAATGTAAAGTAAAACAAAATTATATTATATAGCTTCTTAACTCCCAAAATAAATATGTATTTTTATTAGTTTCTCTCTAGATAAAACTCTTATCTATACTAATATAATAAAGAGGTAAAGTTTGTGAGTTTGTGATGTTGTACGGTGTAATCTCTGGATCTGCAGAACCGATTTAAATGAAATTTGGTAAGAAGATAGTTTGAGACCCAGGGAAGGGTGTAGGATACTTTTTATCCCGGAAATCATCTTTTAAGGGGTCGAAAATGGGGATGAATATCTATAAACTAAACGGTTTACATAGAACACTGCAATGGAACATTGTTGTTGGAATTTGTCAACTATAAATAAATTGATACTTATATATTAACACCAGGTAAATTTCTAAGAAATCAATTAAAATTCTAAGAAATCTATTGTTAACACGCCGGCGTGTCCGCGGTCGTGGAGGGATAAAAGATCGTTTAGTCAAAATTGACTAAACTCTTATATTATGATCTTATGTTTAGAAAATCTATTCAAATAAGATTTTATGAGTGCCATAAAAATACATTGCAGCCTGTAAACATGAAGTATTTTATAGGCCTATAAAGAACTCCCAGGTGCAACATGAAAACGACTTTTATTAGTTAAAGATAATAGAAAAGGGATTGCTTTGTTTCATTCATTTGACGATAATTATTGAGGTAGGGTGACATTGCGTTGCTATGAATTATGTTACAATAAATATTATTCCTGAAAATTGTTTTTTTTTTATTTATAGGGGGCACCGTTGATGTAAATATCCATTAAAATAAGAAACTTCAATTTTGGATTTTCGAAGACTTCTTCAAAGATATAGAGAAAAAGCTTTTCAAACACACTAAATAATGCAGGTCCTTTGAGGGGTAGACTGTCTGATTTTCCGCCATTTCTATATTTCGCTCCGCCACAACCGCGGCGGTTGGTTTGCACTGACCCTGTATGCACATTAGGAACGTGAATGTAAATAAAACACGACCGCTAAAATTGGCGTTTTCATTTTTTCTAGCATATTAATCACACCCCATACATTAGAACTATTGTATTTTATTTTAATTGGTATAACAAGCATATTCGGGTAAAAAAACGAAATAAAAAAAAGGTTTTCTGGAATATAGAATATAGATACTTATATTTTTCTAAATACTTATAGTTTTATTTATATGTCTGTGTAATTTATATGTCTCTATAATTACTCACACACTATACTCGTACTGTATATTACATTAATATTAATTATTATGCTTAGAATTTTTTTTAAGGAATAAAGAAAAATTATTTTAGAAGAAAATAAAATCGGTGTTTGTTAAATCGGTTTTATTTATATTTAAATAATATATTCATTTTTATACATTTTACGGAGAAAGATATATATTATATGTTATACTAGCTTGCAGAATTTATTATACCCTTTTCGGAATATTGTTACATCCCTTACAACACAACCACAGCGCCAACTATCCGTTATTGGCAATGCTACTCGGATATTCAGATGCCAATATTATACAAATGCAATAATTTGGTGTTATATGTACGTGACATATGTATATATACAGTTATACATATGTATATCTAACTGCCTCGGTGGTATAGTGGCTAGCATGTACGGCTGCACACCCGGAGGTCTTGGGTTCGAGTCTCGGGTTGGGCTAAGTTTACTTGTGTCTTCACTTGTGTCTGCGAGTACACTTGGGCACTATAATATCTCCTGCGCAGTTGGCTAGTCTCAATGAGAATGGACGCCGTGCCCAGAATCGGTCAGGAGAACATCATCATCATATACACAGTATACACCAAATTGTTGTATTTGCTGAGTTCACAATAGCCCACCTCAAATTACTTGAAAAAGTCGAGCGCCATCTATCGTACATCAATGCAACTATGTAAAAACCTTCACGAGCATACAATAATTCACTACACTTTTATTACAATTAGGAGATTTAAATTTTATTAATAAATTATTCCATACAACTTATACACCACATTTTGTACAATTTCAGAAAACTTTGCAACACGCAATAATTTACCAAAGTTTTATCGCAATCACTTAAATGCTGTAGGAAAGTATATTAATAAATCTTAAATATTATCTTATATAACTTGCAAGCCCTCGATAACACATAACATAACATACATTGATAGAACTAAATATATCAGAAACCCTCACGCGCGCGTACAACAAACCATCAAACACATTAATCGAATATTCGTAAATAGTTTTATTTTCTGGTCGACTACTAAACGTACAAAGTACATACTTTTTTTAATTATAACTAATTTTCTTACATATTTTCTTATGTATAATAAAAGTTTTTCAAAACATAGCACGATAAAAATATAGATTTTTTTAATGTAACTGATAATTTTAAATTCTTTCTTAAGTTTATAAGAAGCCTTGCGATACTATTAAGTATTATATACAAACAATTTTACGCTTCTTTGAAAAAAAGCATTCGTGAAATAAAATGAAATATAAAACTCGTAACAATTTTCTGGTTGATTAATATCGCATTTTCAAAAGAATCAATGCTATGCACCTCAAAGCAAACTATTTACAAAACATAATATTTAAATAAAAAAAAAACAATTATTATACATACATAAATATACTCGTATTACATTAATATAAGACTACACTGAAAATTTATTTCTTAAATATACCAAATACAGTCGATATATAATTTTAAGGAAACAAAATGCAAAGTATTTTTAAAGTAGGGTGGGTGCACAGAAATCGCCTGTTGCCCCGAACTGGCGGCGCGCCAGGGCTTGTGACCCTTGCCTATTATATAGGCAAGATCGTGCTATTGCTTACTTACTTTAAGACTAGCGTACAGACTTAAGCTAAATATCATAATTAGATTTAGCTTCCTACGTATTGCAAAATTGTCTATGTAAGATATGTAGATATTCTACGATCGACTAGACTTAAAAGTTATACATTAATCTAAATTACAATTATGAAGTATGGAAATTGGTAACTAAAACAAAATGTCGACACCTGCGTCGTGGGACACGGTAGGAACGAAGTTCGTTTCGCTATTATAAATTGATGTTGGGCCCCTTCTATACTAATATTATATAGAGGTAAAGTTTGTGAGTTTGTGACGTTGTAGGGGGTAATCTCTGGATCTACTGAACCGATTTAGATGAAATTTGGTAAGAAGATATTTTGACACCCTGGGAAGGACATAGGCCACTTTTTATCTCGAAAGATGCCTTAAGGAATCTGAAAATGAAGATGAAAATTTGCATGGGAAAACAAGCTAGGAACGGACCCGAGCGAAGCGAGGGTGAGTCGCTAGTATATTATAAGGTGCGTAACTTCGTTTCAATATTCAATAAGATAAATTGTAGATAAGGTAATACATAATACAAAATATAACTGTAGGTCTATTTTTTTACAAATAAATTACTATTTAATATATAATGTATACTAACTTTTTTGTAACATTAAAAAGAGTCATTTATTAGCAGAAATTATAGGAACAAAATTGCTTTCCTTAAAGAAACAAATATGAATTATTCAGAAGTATAGAGTATACGTTATTACTCGAGAGTAAAATGAAGTAATTATAATTAGTTTTTCCTTGATAGTACTTTTCCTAAAAAATACGAAATACTAAAAAAAACTCTATCACGATACCTATAAATATGTCATAGGTATCTGTTTAACTCTATTATATTCATGTATTTGCTTTCTGTCTAAATGATATTCTCATCCTTTTACAACTCCTTGAGACTAGCCGTCTGTTATTTTCCTTATATTGCGTTATTTTGAATTCTTAGACCTTCTGTTATACTGCATCTCTAGTAAACTGGTCGTAAAACGACCTGGCTGCTTCTAAAGCTTGTAATATAAATTTGTCGTCACATGGATTATTATCAAAGAAATATGCTCCACAATGAAGGGCTTCAGAGCAATTTTCATTTATAACTTTGCCTTTGCAACATCCTAATATGGCTCGCGCGCATGGCGTTAGATATTTTGGACGTGCACTGTCTATGCCGTTCCTCGTGTGCAGGATATAAACTAGCTCCTCATATGTTACGTATGTAGAATTTTTGACAGGATCTCCCAATGGTACTATTGTTGACTTGATATTACGAGCATAATTAATTTGGGCCACGAACATAAAGATGATGGCCAAAACAACGTATTTGTTCATGATTGCTTCTGAAAAAAAAAATAGACCTGGTTAAATTAGTAGTATAAAAATACTTAAGAAAACAAAATTATAGAAACTTTTAATTTAAATATAAAACATTCACTGCACCGTGGAATTCGATCTTGCGAATGAGGTATAGAAATACCTACGTAAAATCAAAAACAATATATTTTATCACTAATTTTTAGTAATTAGTAAATAATGGTGTAGTAATAAAGTTTTTTTGCATGTCAATGACATCAGAATACAAATGTAATTTAGCTTAAAAATAATATAAATATGTCTACTTTATACCGTAAATTATTTTGACGTCACGTGTCCTAACATATATAATGTTCTTCATATGTTTGAGAATCCATACTAATATTATAAATGTTAAAGTGTGTTTGTTTGTTTGTCCATCTGTCGCGTCAAAACGGAGTAACAGATTGGCGTGATTTTTTGTGTGGAGATAGTTGGAGGGCTGGAAAGTAACATAGGCTACTTTGTACCGCGGGAGATTACTTAATTCCCGGGAAAACACTTTATGTAGATACACAATCCAAAAAAATATTTATAATCAGAATTACTTGAAACTTGGTATTAATGCTTTTCAATAAATTTAAATAAATACGTGTTTTTCGAAATTCATCCTAAAAGGGGGTAAAATAGAGCATAAAAGTTTGTATGAAACTACCTTTTTAGAGATTTTTTTGTAGTTTTAGCGCGAGCGAAGCCGCGGGTTCTGCTAGTAGATAATAAATTACTTTACATATAAATAATATAAATGAGCTCGAGTGTGCACATTATCACTTAAAATGTCAATGTGAGTCAGAGGTTATGTTGTTGGGTTTACCCAGTTTGGATAAAACGCGTCATAAATGTTCTCTTGTAGCAATACAAAGCTTATACACGTGTGCCACTTATATACCTATATGTATGTTAGCATATATTTTTAAACCATCACGCTGGTCTAATATGTACATACATTTTAATGTTATCAGGCACAAGTTTTATTATAGCTTTTAACACTTCCGTATAGAGATTAATTTGAAATTAAGTTATAAATTCACCTTGTTATTTAAAAAAAATAATATGTTAATTAGCGTCTGTAGAACATACAGATGAATGCTAAATGAAATGAGAAAAATAATAACACTTACTATATTTCAGCTCCGTTTAAAAATCTTTTAATTATTATGATACAGTAAAAACAACTTTCTTCAATGTTCACAACAAACGTCTAACCGTGTTCAAGAGCGTCTACTATCTGCCATCTGGTTTCGAATCGCTGCATAAACGAATACGATTACCATGGAACGGGATTTTGATGTGAATAAGTAGGTTGGGGTATATAAGTATATATATATATATACATACATATATATATATATATATATATATATATATATATATATAATAACATAGATTCTAGGCGAAAAAATACAAAAGTTGGAATGTTCACGGCGACATTGTATAAATAATAAACATCAAATTAAAAACTGAAGGAAACTATTTTCTTTGCTTTTCCCGAAAAATTCATTATTATTATTATTAATGTTGGGTGTGGTGCCGAGGTCGGCCCTAGCTACGTCGACCAGTTTTGGTCCATTGTAGCTCCCTTTATAATGAGTTCAAAGTTCTCCGCTTAGTCCTGTTGACTCCAGGAACTTCCAGATTTTCTGAGCGGGGAGCATCTGTATCTCTTCCGGTTGCATAATATGCTGCCCTAGATAGATACTTCTGCGGTGCATGAGTGGACCGCACGAGCAGAGGATATGCATAGCAGTTTCCTCTGTCTCATGGCATAGTCTGCACATTGCGGTCTGACTGAGGCCGAGGGTAAACATATGTTTATTGAGTTTGCAGTGACCAGTAAGTATTCTGGTTACTGCACTGGTTTTATACTTGTTGAGTTGAAGCAACTCTTTTGTAAACTTTTTGCGATATCCCTTAATTAGCGCTTTAGAGTGTATTTGTCCAGAAGTGGATTGCCACTCTTGAAGTGCTTGGCGATTGCAGTGAATTTTGAGAATTGAATAGGCATGTTGTTTTGCAATGCCACAGAATGGTTCTGGGCCACAATCTGGGGTTTCAGCGCCCCTTCTTGCCAATGCATCAGCCTTTTCATTCCCATCTATGCCTGAGTGACCCGGGACCCATCTGAGGGTAACTCTGTTGGATGTGCCCAGGACATTCAGATTATCCATACAGTCTTTGACCAACTTAGAGTTGGTCTCAAGAGAATCTATAGCCAGAAGTGCTGCTTGGCTATCTGAGTTGATGTAGAAAAAAAAAAAAAAAAAAAAATTCATTAATGTTAGTTTGTAAAAATTTGGTTAATAAAGTACACATTTCAATGATAATTAAAAAAAAAAAAAAAACGTAGTTTACAAAGTAAAAAATTACTTTTTTTTTTTTTTTTTTTACTTTGTAAACTACGTTTTTTTTTTTTTTTTTAATTATCATTGAAATGTGTACTTTATTAACCAAATTTTTACAAACTAACATTAATGAATTTTTTTTTTTTTTTTTTTTTTTTTTTTTTTTTTTTTTTTTTTTTTTTTTTTTTTTTTTTTTTTTTTCATTTCAATTTCAATTTTTTTTTAATTTATTATATGTATTTCGAAGATTACATTCCCTTAGTTTATTTATTCTAGACATAAAAAATAAAAGAAAACCAAGACAAAATTAAAAACCGAGTTTTTTGTAAACACCTCAAAAACTTTGAGATTATTACTATTCTAAGAAAATGTCATCCATGAAAGTTGTAGATTTTTACTAGACCCACAACTTTTGTAGAGAACATTTTTCAATAGAACGTCACAGTAAGCTGGAAATTGAAAAAAACTATTTTTCAACACTTTGCGTCCCTCCATTTCTCGGGGGTAGCTGGGCATCGGGGGCGTTTTACGAATTTCTATTTCTTATATACCTGCTAAAATTTTAAAAACATAAAACTTCAGGTTTTCAATAAAAAAAAATCTCTTACAAATAAACAGATCCCGATTGGTCTATACGTGCATACCTATTATATTTAAAGTAAAAAAAAGTAGATGTTTTGTAATCAAGTCGTCAAGACTGAGAAAAGCGAGTGTGGGTTCTATTATAAATGGACCTAGCTAACGCAGTCGAGCGATGCGAAGGTAGATCCTAGTCATTAAGAATATTTTAGGGATTCAAAAGTAAATATAAAAATTTCAATTAACTTTATTCACGTGTACAACCGTTATTAAGTAGCATATATATAAAAATAATTTGTGGGGCCCAAGCGATCCTAGAGCGTCGACAAAGTTGGTGAATTTAGTGAGTATGGGTCTCTCAGTCCCCTGTCTATGACGGCCGACGTGACGGGTTTCCCCAGCGTCACAGCAAACGCGTTATCAATTGCCCCTTTTTTAAAAACATTATATAAAATTGTTTTCTGGAGATAGAATTTATCGGACGGATGCCATAAAAATACTTAAAATTTATAACATGGGTCGGTCCCAAAGTAGGGTCAAATTGACCCGTGTCAGTTCTTAGTTAAGAGTTTCAGTTAGGACTTAGGAAGTTTCGCGCTTGAAGTCACTTTTATAAATATACTTCGATCAATGATTATAAGCTTTTTACCTCACGGGAAAGTAAGTTATCTTTTAATAATAAAGTATTAAAATGTATACAACCGAGCAAAGCGAGGGTAAGTCGCTAGTATCAGAAATCACAAGTTACAATTTTAAGTATAATGTATCAAGAGTACCTAATTTATCATTTATACTAACATATTGCTTTTACCTTAATTTACGTTCCGCTGTTATCCATACTTAATATTATAAATGTGAAAGTGTGTTTGTTTGTTTATTTGTTTGTCCTTCTTTCACGTCAAAACAAAGTGACGGATTGGCGTATTTTTTTGTGTGGAGATAGTTGGGGGACTGGAAAGTGACATGGGCTACTCTTTACTGAGGGAGATTATCTCATTCCCACGGGAAAACACGATATAGCACAAGCCATGAAAATATTCATGATCAGAATAACTTGAAACTTGGTATTAATGCTCTTCAATCAATTAAATAAATACGTGATTCAGCATTTTTTTAAATTCATCCCATAACAGGGTAAAATAGTAAAATCGTTAAACGATTTAATTTATTCTCCAATTTACGAAGTTGTTCTTGTTTTTTTGGTAACTACATATTTGTTAGAATAGCACTTTAAATGAAATACTCAATTTATTACATTCGTTTATTAATGTATTTAAATAATTTTAATTTACAATAATGAAATACACACCGGACCGTTACTCGCACTCACGCGCTGTCAATATGACAGTTGTGTCATATACATTTTTAATAATCAAAAAAAAAAGAATGCCAACGCATCAATACCATCGTATTTATATACATCAAATTAATAAATAATTATTATTTAACACATTATTATTGCCTCTTTAATTCATTTATTTTAATTCATTATAATAAATACAAATATTTTAAATTAAAAGATGTAAAATTGTGATGACTATGCTAACATATTGTTTTTTTATTAATATTTTATACATTGTATTTAAGATATCATAAAATTAATATGATAATAAAATAAAAAAAAAAGTAGAGAAAGATGATGTAATGATAACGCAGTTCGCTCTCTTTTTTAATTTATATCCAGCTTAAGGCTTAAATTCGTAAAACTATCCAGATTTAAATGATTTTAATACCTACTCCACTTTAAAAATAAATATGTTAAACTCTTTCTTCGTAGAAACTTGTAGCCTCAGACTTTCAGCTCTACTATTTGCTTTATTAATTTTATGGATTAGTATTGTAATTTAAATACTTTTTATATTATAACTATTGTTTATTTGTTAACACACATTGTTTTTTTTGTATCTCGGCAACGGATGGTAATTGTCTCCCGACGCTTATTATCTTCAATTTCGAGTCAAAATAAAATCTGTATTCTTAATAAAATAACTACTTAATTCTGAGCGGAAAGTGTCATTTGAGATACCAAAATATTCATAATATATATAGTTTCGTGAT